TTTTGTTTGATCATAATTTATAATATGGTGATTTCATTGAAGAATAAAATTTGATGCAGTACGCTTGTAGTTAAAAGGGTTTGAGTGCCTAGGTGTCTAATTCTGTATTTTGTATATTGATGTATGGATGTATATTGCATTCTTGTATGCCTCAAAGCTTGGATCTGGAGATGCATTAACATTTTTCTTGCGATTTGTTGGTGATTTCAGCTCCATCAATCAAAGGGTCTGGTGAGTGTGGGGTATTATATTTAGCACAGCCTCTTGATGCGTGCTCTGATTTAACTAACAATGTTGAAAAAGTGAAAAATTCTAGTTCTCCATTTGCATTGGTCATTAGAGGAGGGTGCAGTTTTGAGGAAAAGGTTAGAAAAGTACAAAAGGCAGGATTCAAAGCTGCTATTGTCTATAATAATGAAGACGATGGTGGCTTGGTTGCAAGTAATGTCCCTCTTCTTGTGTAAATTCTATATATTTTGACTTCTTTCTTTCAGTATTCTGTATTGTTTTTAGTGTTCGATGAGATGCCATGTTCTAAACTATATCATTCATTGTGTGTTTGCCACTTGGTCTAGTGAGATCATTCAGGTTCAGGTTAAGGTTAGTTTGAATAGCTCTTTCCAGGATCATGAAATTGTTATGTCTTTATGAAGAAATCCCTGCAATTAAGTGAGACATGTTTTTCATTTTCAATGTTGATTGTTAGATAGCTTAAGATGTTACTGTTATACCAAATCTCTACCCAACCGTCAATGTCAATGGCCCAAATTGTGGAAGTTATGCTGGAGTGGACTGGTCCATTGGGTTGCCATGCAGTGCTTCAAATGTTTTTCTTTTCATCTTATGTTGTATTATTTTAAGGATGTAAGCCCACCTAAGTCCTATGCATTCCTAGACTTTTTAATGTACTTATGGCCATACTTGATCATACGGTCATAATCAACAGGAAGAAAAGATAGATTTGAGCATCTCTCCATCTCACTCTGCATAAACCCCTGTTGTACTTTTGCTTTATGGTAAATAGAACTTCTACATCAGTCAGCTTTTAACATGGGTAAATATAATTATATACCTACAGCTGTCAAACCATCTTAGTCTGGTAAATATTGTTTTTGGACTCTGTAAATTTTAATTAAGAGAGAGTTGCTATTGGAAGTCTCAAAGCGGAATTCAAATTCTATTGAGTTTTATTATTTGCACATATTTGCATTCTGTCTTTAATCTCTATAGCTTTTCTGCACTCTTCATTATTGGCATGTTTTCCTGAGTTATCCTTTGTACCTATTGTTTCAGTTTTTCTTTGATTGAAAATTTTTGTTTGGATTATGGTTATTATCTATAATTAAGATATTTATCGGTATAATGCCTCTAATTTGCAATCATAAAAATATGCAGTGGCTGGAAACGCGGCTGGCATCAAAATACATGCTGTATTTGTTACCAAAGCTTCAGGGAAAATACTCAAAAACTATGCTGGGCGAACTGATATGGAGCTGTGGTTAATCCCTACCTTTGAAAATTCAGCATGGTCAATCATGGCAATCTCATTCATTTCCCTACTTGCCATGTCTGCGGTGCTCGCTACATGCTTTTTTGTACGCAGGCATCGCATAAGACAAGAACGTCCCAGATCTTCTAATGTCCGTGAATTCCATGGAATGAGTAAACGCTTAGTGAAAGCGATGCCTAGCCTGATATTTACTACTGTCTTAGAGGATAACTGCACTTCAAGAACATGTGCTATATGTCTTGAAGACTACACTGTGGGAGAGAAGCTCAGGATTCTTCCATGTTGTCACAGTAAGTCTTTCATATTTCTAACTTTTTATCCTAATTACATAGCAGAAGAAAATACTTCATTAAATGATTCCTTGCCCTACCATACCGAAAGTGAACCAAACATCATTGTGGTGCCTATCTATATATGCCTAGGGTTATGGCAGCAAAGCCTTGTTCATGCAGATGTTGTTTTATAAATACTGTGTCCCATATTCTGTGTCCTTTTTTTTTTACCGTACTTTTGTCAAATCTACTGTTAATTATTGATGAGACAAGTTAAAATGGGAAAGAGGAAATTAATGCACATTGAAAATGTAAAGTCAACACTTAATTTGGGACAAGAATGGAGTAAAAAATAAAACAACACTTAATTTTAGATGGAGAGAGTATTAAGGATTACCTTGAATTTTAATGTGTCATGTTTGCCTCTATGTTGGTTGTGATTCTTTAGAATATGAGACATTGTGACTCTAGTAAGCAGTGTGCTCATATTCAGTCAAAACATAAGCAGAAGAAAACGTAAACACAGTTTATGTTCTTGATTCTATATTCTACACATGCAGGGGAAAGAAAGAGGGCTTTTGGGTCTAATTTTAGGTGTAGTTTGATTTTATTAATTTGTTCCTATAACTTTTATCAATTACTGTGTTATATATCCAAATTTGAGTTTTTGCTTATTGAAATTTTAACAGAGTTTCATGCGTTCTGTGTGGATTCTTGGCTTACAACATGGAGAACCTTTTGCCCAGTTTGTAAGCGTGATGCAAGAACTAATACAGGTGATCCACCAGCTTCAGAAAGCACACCATTGCTTTCATCCAGTCCTGCCTCAGTGGATTCATCTGCACTGTCATCTGTTAGATCTTCATTAGCTTCATCAGCAGCCATACACATAGCCCCAGCATCATCACAGTCCCCTTCAGTGTCTCATATCCATTCGTTTGCCAGCACTCCTTACATCCAGCAATCTCTTAGGTCCTACCGTCATTCTCCTCCCATCAGTGTTAGCAGAAGCTCGGTAGATCTTAGGAATGCATCATCACAAAGATCTCTTGTTTCACATATGGTTTCATCTGCCTCCTTGGGTTACCCATCCATCTCACCCCTTAATGCAAGATACATGTCTCCATATCTTCCAAGCCCAAGCAATGCCTCACCAAGTTTAGCTAGCACTTCTGGTCCTCGACAGCGTCCACTTCATTGCAGCGAGTCTGCTTCAAGTTTTTCTCCTTTTGCCTCTGCTCATTCTCTTCCAGAGTGTTAAACTAACAAGTGATAAGATTTGCCATGTCAAACTACATATGCTAAATCATGATTGACTTGCAGTTCAAATATCTCAGATCATTGCGTCTTTGCTTGGGCAGTTGGATTCTCATTCATATGATTGGTTGCCTTTTTATAATCATGCTGGTGACTCGGTGCCTCCTGATCTGTACGTTTTCACATTCGATGTGCCGTTTCCAAAGCGTGAGTTGGTTCCACCTGATTTGTACATTTTAGTGTAAGATTCTTATCGTGTCTTTAATTCCCGAGTGACATTGCTGTTGGATGAGTTGAGGTTTCTTTCTTTCTTTCTTTTTCATTCAGTTTCAGTGTAACAGCAGCTGGGTTTTGCTATTTGATTTGTGCAGAAGTCCCATTGGTGGAATATGGTTGACCTCTAACCCTTGAGTTGTGTAGAATCTGTAGCTGAAAATCATTTTGTCTGAATATGGTCTTTTAGCATTTCTCCTTTGTTCTCATTCTTCATTTTTTAGAAATTCTTTTCCATTTCTACCATCTTCTTAGAAATTAACTTGTTAATGAACGAAAAATGTATGGCCAGAATTGTTAAAACTTTTATCGGAAGTCACATGATTCATATCCAAGTTATCAAAGGATGGAAAAAAAAAAATTACGGAAAAATGATCTGATGGAGGGAATTGTTTTCGAGTGTGCGTCATTGTACCCTGAAAAACTGGGTAGTCTCGTCCTTCATCACTGATTTTGGTCTGTTGCATCTTTTTACAGACTTCTTCGCTAAGGTGGTGCATGGCAATGATACATCTGACTGCTCATAATGCTGATGAGATAAAGATGCCAGTGAAGCACCCTTACTTTGTCCAAAACAGAACATGATTACAGATGAGGAGCAAGATCATAATTTTATAGTAAGATGTTCTGGGGGTTAACTTCAAGCTCCATAGAATAAAGGGCAGCAAACATAAACATTATGAAGTTGAGAAATTTGAAAACAGCAGTTTTACCAAGAGCAGTGGTTGGCAAGCTATTTTAACCTGATGAAAGCAAACTAGTAATAATCCTCTATTTCATAAAACAAAATACTACACAGAAAAAGATAAAAATATTTACCAACAACGCGTGGGGATAAATAAACCATCATGTTAGCCTTTCCTTTTCCAATCTGTAAGTCTGTTCTGAGAGTAATCATGTTTTCAGGATTTGTTTTCCCAAGCAGATATCTCACCTTCTCTAATCTTCTTTCTCCCCAGATCTAGACTCACTGGTTTCGGCCACAAAGCTCCTAGTATGATCAACCTGATCGCGAGTGCCAACCCTGAGAGGTTCTTCCTTGTTGACAAGGCTACATAAGAGTATCAAGCCAGCAACCAAAAAGACAATGATGTAGAAAGTTTTGACTCCAATTAGTGATTTTATAGAGCTCATCAGTGATGGGCGGTTAACTCCCTTCAGTGCTGTTCTTCCTTCTCTATAACCTTCCAGGAATCTCAAAATTTGAGATCCCTGATCTTCATCATTGAGGCTTTCAGAACCGATAACCTTTATATAGAAATAGAAAGTAAATAGGTCAATGTTTTAATATTTTCCAAATCCAAGGAAAGACAGGTTGAAAGGTCAATTAGAAAGCCTCTTGTTTAACTATGGAATGCAACGCAACGTATAATCACAACACAAAAAGCAAACAATATGGAAAAGAGGGGCATCTATTCTTCAAGAAACAACCATAATCAACCAATATAGAAATCCAAAAGCCTGACTATGTACAAATTTGCTTCCTGGCATTAATGGAAGAAGGGGATAATGAATTTAAAAAATGCTATAAAAAGGAAAAAATAAAGTGAAGAAAGCTCTAAATGTTCATTAGAAACCTAACTTGACAAAAGACCAAGTTTAGATTACATTTATATGGAGTTAAGAGCAGAGATACAGACAAATCCTAACTGGACTCAGAGATATCATCTACATAAATTGCCATGGTTAACCAAAGATCACCTTTTTTTGGCAAGCTACACCATAATTGAAAAAAGAACTAGTTGCTATCACTAACATTGGTAAAGCTACAACCAGAAGTAACATGTGATTTTTCGAAGAATTAAGACTTACTGAAAGATACTCTTCACTTCCGTCCCAAACAATCATTTTCGGCAATTTTGTGTTTCTATTGGCCTCAAATGAATCAGCAAAGTCTTCCCATTGCTTAACCCCAACATATGCAAATACTAAGTCACGATTTGCAGATGCAGCAGCTTTCAACAACTTGATCAATTTCTGTGACTTCTCTTCAACCTCGTCTTCCATTATTGTTAGAACAGTTTTCCTCTTATCAGTGTTCAGTAGCTTCAATGTTTCAGGGTTTACTGGCACAACTGGAGGGAGCAAATTAAGCTTTATAAAATCCCCTAAAATGTCATCTGCATGTTTGAAACTGAGATTAAGACTGCTTTCTTATACAAACAACAAATATCTAGAGATAATATTTACAAAGAAAAGATTGAACTGAGAAGTGATATTATGTGTTTTGTAATTCTTAAAATTCAATTTAATTTAACAATCCCTTAATGGAAAAGAAGCTAATTCAGTTACAAGAATTCTTTCTCCTTTTAATGCCTTCGATCAGAGGCCATAACCATACAGAGACCAGATCAGCAGCTGTTTTTCCCTTCACTCAAATCTCTCTTCCAGAAAAACATATGGACCATAGAGATTAAACAAACACGAAAACACAAGTACACGAGAAGAAGCCTATTAGTCATCCAATTAAATTTTTTTGGTCAAGATTCTGAACTCAAGCATTTAAATGCATTGCAATGATTAGCAATGAATTTTAAGGTGCTGACATCCAATACAATGTATGTGACCAAGAGCAAAATATTTCACACTAAGCTTGATACTTTAATTACCAACTAACCTTCAAAGGGGCCATAAAAAACATTTTGCTGGCTGTAGATTGGGTGAAGAGAAACCAAAGCAGGAACCTTGTCAAAGTCATAAAAGACCCTAACATCCTCAGAGAAATCCTTTGCCACAGCAAACCATGCCTTTTCCTTATACTTGACAGCTTGATTAGATATTACTGTCTCATTCAAGCCAAAACCTATATATATGGGGAAGTATGTACCAGCCACTTCAAGAAAATCACTAATGGCCAAGTCTGAATTAAGAACGGAGACATCAGGAGCTACAAATTTCTTCAGATATTTAACAAGTAAATCTGCTTTCCTCGGCCCATCATAGTCTATAGGAACACCGTGTATAAAAAGCTTGAGGGTAGGATATCCACTGCAAAATTCACATCGGATTATAATTATTAGCTACCAATGCCTAACAATTCAGCTGTAATGCGTTGGTGAAATAAATAATTCATTTATTAAGATTATGGATAAAAGCATTAGCCAAAAACATGCTGCATCAAGGGGAAAAAGAAAAGAGAGATCCGACCAAATAGTTCTCGGTTAGGTGAAGGTAGTGTGATTGGAAATGGAAAGCACTAATTAGTGATGGGTTTTGCTTCCAATATATGTGCTATTTACATGATTTATCAAGATATGCTTTCAGGTTTTGCATTTTTAATACTAACATACTTCAAACACAGTTCTATCATGTAAAAGCTGCATACTTCAAAACAAGACATTAATTTGTAAACGTGGATATAAAAAAGGGAATAGATGCTTACTGAACTTCATATTTTTTATTAAGCTTCTTGAACTTGTCAGCATTTACTTTTGCTATCACTATTGGCTCCTTTGATTGAAAAAGAAGACGAGCAGCCTCATCTAACTGCAATTCAAGCATAGAGCTTTCACTTTCCCATATACAAACTATGGATCACAGTTATCCAATTCAAGTAAAAAGATCATAAAAATAATAGTCTCATGCAGTCACAAAATACAGATAAAGAATATGGATATCATTACTTCAACGAATCCATTCATAACATCGATCACCATTAATTAAAGAAACACCTAAAAGAATCAACAAACAGGTAAATTAAAATTTAAAAGACCCTCAGGTTCTCAAACTGTTAAAAAGATGTAGAAATGAAGAGACGAGGTGCACCTGGGGAGCAAGGTGCTGGCAGTGGATGCACCAGGGGGCGTAGAAGTCGACGAAGATGTAGTCGAAGGCTGAAATCGCTGAGTCAAAGTTGGATTCCTCCAGCTCCAACACTGTGCCGTCTACTTTGAATTGCTTTGCTGTTGAAGGAACTTCAGCTCCGGCAATGAATAACAGCACTGACACGATTAGAAAGAACCGCATCATCAGGGATGAAGATTGAGGACGACGATGCTGTTTTCTATGCCCTTTTTTTCTTAGCGTTTACCGGCAAATTTTTCCTAGTGTTTTTTCTTGATCAACGGAAAGCACGGAGGACTAGTGATGGCGTTGAAAATATGGACGAAAACCTGAACACAAACATCAACCCCCCGAACTTCCATGGGTTTGATATTCAAGCCCTTAACCTATTTTTTTTCAATCAATTAGAACTTTCTTTCCAGTTTCTGAATTAGTGCATGGCCAAAATGAAGACTTTTGGGTCTCATATACTAGAAATTAATCACAATTATTATAGTGACTATATATTGTTATACCAAGCATGTGTACAAAATTTCTTATGGTTGACTCTGCTCCCTGTGAAGCTTTTCAGTGTCATCCGCTAGAAATTCTGTAGTTCAAGGATGTTAGCAGTGCTTGGATGGTAGCCATAATCGAGATTTTCGACAGAAGTACCATAGAGAGAACTCATCAGGCTCCTACTGGAACTATTGCCTAATGGAGACTGCAGGCAGCTGACGGGGCAATTACTCCATCTCTGTGTGATTTAAATGGGTTTCTCGCATCCAATTGAGACATTCCTCTTTGGTACCAGAGGGATGAGCTAACTGCCATGCAAGGAGTTTTTGTTGCTGCCAGGAAAAGAATAATTTAGCATTTCAAAGTTATAAATAATAATTTTGGGGTAGCTGAAGATGACTTACCCAATCTCTAACAAGTGGTCCTCCAGCTTTAAGCTGCAGAATGTCCATTATAGCTTTCCCATTAACTAATGACTTTAGATCCCAAACCTTCTCCAGACCTGAATTCCAGCAAAAACAAACAACACATCAAATAGGTAAATGCCGACAATAACAGACCACAAATGAGGTGTTGCAAACTGAAGAAGCATAAGGATTACTAAAGCTAAGGTATATAGTGAATGGAGCACAAAGTATTCAATACAAAATTTACAAACTGAAAACTGGTTGTACCTAGTTTTACAATGGCATTTTCAACCGTCACGAACAACTCTTTTCTCTTCTCCAGTTCAAAGTGCTTGTTTAGCATATCTTGAGTATAATTGACATCAGCTGGGTATAGCAATGTAGACAACAATAAGGCAACTTGCCAGAAATCTTTGATTTCTCTCAGCAGAAACCCTATACGGGCAAACAACAGTAAAGGTTAACGCAATATGCTAAATTCTAGTTGGGTGACTTCCGAAGCAAGAAAAAGAAAAGATAAAGACTAGAAGACAATTATAGCTTAATTATGGAATCCTTATGGTATGCCTGCAGATACATCTCACATTCCTCTTGCTTGCATTTATGCTGCTATTGATTACTGAAATCAATCAATTGAAGTGCTAAAACATTGGAATCCACAAATGTTTAATGAACTCTATGCCATCACTCTAGTGGTCTCACTGCAACAGGAAGGGATTCAGGGAAACTAGTTCATAATGCATCAAATGGCTGAGGACAAGTCAGAAGTTGCCAGAACTTAAGCAAAAATTCTAGAACATCTAAAATTGAGGAGAGCTAGAATAGGTGATGTAATGGGAGTTGTCTGATAACAACATTCCGATAATATCCTCATTCCTCAAAGTAGAAGCTAACAGTAATATCTCCATACCTGTCAACACACACAGTTTTGAAGTACCAGGGACATCAATAAGTTCTCTTCCCCATTCAACTCCAGTGAGGTGGGCATCCTCATTAGACACACAAGATGGAATCAAGGGTAAGAATTTCTCCAATGCATTATGGATGTTAAGAACCTACAAACAAGAGAATTGAAATTAATTCTGTATCAGAACTAGAAATCCAAGTTAACAGACAGGCTAAGAAAATAGTTAAACAAAAAAATAATGAGAATGAAGCATATGACAGATAGTGTCAAGATAATAGAATGAAATATTTTGTACTCACTGTTTCAGCATCACTAACTTTTCGCTTCAGAGAATCCCTCAAAATGTGGTTGACAACAGGAATCTGCATGCAGATACACAGATTTAGCTTAACAACAGCATATAAGGGTAACTCTAAACAAATCGTGTTGAAATATGCCAGCATCAAAGAAATGTGAAATCGAAAACAATGAGAAGAATAATTAACTGATCAAATTTAATAAAATAAGTACATTTGTGATGGAATAACCCCAAGTAAAAGATGCAACATGAATTTAATAGCAAGCTCCATTATTCTGCAACCCAAGGAATCAGATAGAAACTGAACCAAGAGAAATCTAGAAACTCATTCATCATATTTTTCTTAGCCAAGTAATAATGGCCATTCTGGTGACAAAGCAGATTACAATCAAGTGTGTTAACAGAAGATTTTCATAACATCCTATAGACAGACCAGATATGTTACGTGCTATCCTGTTGGCGTAATGAGTTCATACTTGCAACTGAAACATACAATTACACAAGACAAGGAAGGATCATGATTGATACCCTTTTAGCTTTGCATTCCTTGTATGCCATATTCCGGAGTGGAAAAAATAAAGCAGCCTACAAAGAGAGCCTTCTTTGCTCGTCCTAAATTTCACCAGTAGCAGAAGACCATAATTTAGAAGCGAAAAGAAGAAACATATGACTAGCAGAAAAAGAGAATGGAAAAAAGAACTAAATATGTCCAAAAAACAAAAAGGAAGAGGAAGAAACTCAGAGAAGTGACTGAAACACTTCATAGACTCATCACTCACATTGAAGTTAAAGCACCCAATTAGTTGGATTAGATTCCATGCAGCATCTATGCATGCAATACAAAGCCTGTATATGGTGAAAAAAATGGTACATGAACGCACAAACAATACCAAGAGAAGTCAACAAAGAATGCTCCATCTGCCCTGAAATTCTCCTGCTACTACAATGCAGTGGTACCAATGAATGTTTCTTTATTACGGGGTAATTTATTAATTTTTCTTTACAAATTACCAAACCAAGTACTTGCAATGTACTGAGTTATTAAACTAATTGCATACCTATGGCATTCCTCTGGTAATGCAGGCTCAAATTCATGAGGAAGATTGAAGACAATCCAAAATACTGTCAAATCACGAATATAGGCCACTGCTCTATCAGGGTGATTGCCAGAGGTCATGAGATCAATCTGAATAAAGAGAGACGTGGAAAAGAAACAAACAAGTTGTTGCAAAATTACTAATGCAGACTAAAATCAGGGGAATGTTGTAGAAAACTCTAACCAATTAGCAACAATGTAAGGCATCACACACATACCTCAGTTCCAATGCGTTCTCTGCTAATCTTAGTTTGAAGAGCTGCCTTCACATCATCACAAGCAGCCACTTTCTTCAATTCTTCATCCAGTGTGAAACCAAACCTTGCCCCTAAATTCACATAATATTGGCCCAAATAATATAAGAGAAAAAAGAAAAGCCTTAATCTCAAAGCAGTTGGATTAACTACATGAACTCTTTTTCTCCATTATTTCCTAGCAAAACTTAAAAGGCTATATTCTCTGGAAGATCTAAAAGAGGAAGCCCTTTCTTACTTAATGAATCTAATCCTATTCTAGTCTTCTTACTACCCTATTAAAATACGCCATCAACCCTAATCTTAATAGTTGGATGTAAAGAGAGTATATTTGGCGAGGTCAAAGTCTCTCAGTCATTAAAGGATCACCTTGTAAGCATTATGAGTATCTGTTTAACCATTCATTAAACACAGGTTGACTCCCTTCTGGTATTGGCAAGCAAGCCTGTTCTATCTCCAGCTTTCACCTCAGAATACTACAAGTTTCCAATACATCCTTGTTTCCAATACATTCTGCCTTAGTTAACACTATTACTCCCAAGTATACCATTATCAAATTCAACTTCCTCCCTTTTTCCTGAAAAAAAAAATGTTCCACCAAACAACTTTACTAGATGTGAAAAAGACCATAACAACAAGAAGTAATTCTTGTTGATAATAAACTATAAAAGACAACGAGATAAAAATCTAAAACCAAGTACCAAAGCAAATGGCTCAAAGAACTCGTAGGGAATCATCCAGAAATGTAGCCTTTGGAGGTAATGGAGTTACTATCTTTCCAGATTTTAGATCTGCAATCCCTGCATATTATTTGAAGAAAAGGGAACAAAAGTCAAACGTGGTCAGAGAGAACTGCAGGCAACTAAAGAAAGAAGCAACTAAAGTGACACACTAACCTCTTTTAGTAAAATCTTCAACCATGCTATTATTAATATTATAGAACAAGCTGAGAAACAAAAAGAATTCCCCATTAATACTGTAAATTTGTTCAACCAACAATTACATGGTCAGAGAGAAATGCAAGCAAAAGCACCTATTGATTGTCAAATCCCTTCGATATGCATCCTCCTCTGCTGTGCCAAATTTCTGCATCAAGGCAATAATGATTTGAGCATTAATGAATCCAAAGGTTTGACTATATTATAATATTACATTCAAAACTCTTAGATAAAGCAAAGGCTTATCAAGTTAATCAAAAACCTATATCCATTTTTGAATCATTTATGCTAACAGGTACAGCCCTGAAAGCAAGTATAAGATTGAAAAGGACACTAAAAGGACATTTAAAAGCATCAACACAAATCGTTCAGCCTTGAAAGCAAATGCACAGATACCAACAAAACAACCAAAAATATTTCTGAGTTTATTGTTTACCAATTTAGGGATTCGGCTGTTCTCACTATAGTCTTCACACCTTAAGTTCACAAAATCAATCCATAAATCAAACAGGCGCATCCTTGCTGTTTCTAAGTGTTTGGATTGCTCAGGATTACTGCAAAGTCAAAATTAAACTAAGAGCCACAAAGTACAAGAAAATTCGCAAGACACACCACAATTCATTTAACATGAGATGGAAACTGCATCTAAATTATTAAGATCAAGGAAATATTTAAAAAAAAAATCCATTTATCACCACAATTCAAAGAAAATGAATCCTGTACATTGGAATTACAGCAAGTCCGTGTGCCTCTTCTCCAGTAGACTCCAAGTCTTACCTGACCTTATCAACAAATTCACTGCCCAACATATTGTCAAGTGCAATATCAATATCGTAACATTCTTTTCCAAGAAGCTGTAAAGGTAACAGAACCAGTGTAAGATGTATTAACGTAATAAAAGTGTTACAGACCATAAACCACAGCAAAGATCAGAGCAGGAACACAATGCAGAACACATATCATGCCAGCACTGTTCTAGAATTCAATAAACGAGACAAAGAAAGCTGAAAATGTGAACGTATTATCTTCCGTTAATTCATTCTTGTAAACTAAAATCCATAATTACAAGCAAAGTAAGTGAAGCACCTTATCGCGGACCCAGCCGCCGGCAACACGGAGTTGCGTCTGGAGATCGAAGTAGCGAAGAGTGCCAAGGAGCCTATAGAAAATCTTCTTCTCCGTCTCCGTCAGTTCAATCTGCTCTTTCACCGGAACCACCACCGGCTCCAGTTCAGAAGCAGTGGCCATCGCTCTCCAGTGCAGCAACCGCAGCTTTCTGGTTCCGGCAAGGGTGAGAGATCTCCTCGGGGGATTTAAAACGTTTCGAAATTCCACGGAGGCGTTAACGGTGACGGGAGAGAGGGAGTGAAGAAAAAGAAGAAGAAGAAGAGGCGCCTTGAGCTCTATAACGGTGTTCAAGGGACGTCTCATGATTTTCTAATTTTATTTTTATGCCACCGAACAGGAGAAACTGAAATCGCCGTTCGGTGTGGGTCCGGAGTCTGGGCCCGGTTTAGACTTGAACTGGTTTTATAACGGCTCGGACCGTGAGGTTGCCCTTGTAACCGGACCCTAGACGGCTTGAATCGCTTGACTTGACCGGTTGACCGATAGTTTCACAAGGTAAATATTACTTTGTGCCCTCAACTTTTAGGATTGATTGAAAAATCATCCTCAATCTTTTGAATCAAGCAATCAGTTCCTTGAAAGAAGAACATTCTAGAAGTTTGTGTCAAACGAATAAATGCATACCAGATAATGAGATTCACTTGAATGAGTTGAAGAACCATTCTTCTACTTTTCTACCTTCTCGATGTCGAATACATGGACTTGTGTTCTTCAAGCAGTAAAAGCACAGTGAAATGGGAAAAAAAAATAAAGAGAATATGGAACCATATAGAGGCAACAAAAAATTAAAACCAAATCGCTGATGTTACATATTTGTATTTGATTTTTTCTTTGTACACCACATTTTGGCTAATGTACACCTTAAATATCTATCTAAAACAAGAAAGTATGGAATCTCATTCCTGTTATGGCTAAAATGATCCAAACGAAGTATAAAACAAGAAAAGGTTAACTAAGCTCTGGCATTTCTTCCACCTCTTCTACTAACTGATTCACACAACCGGCATGGTAATGTATCAAGGCTTGCTGCACGGGTTTTCACATAGTTACCCAATACGCCACATCTCCTCCAGGCGTGATATTCGGCATAGGCTACAGGGTCATTTGCAAGGGCCTTGACATAAGAAGCCAACTCCTCCATGGACCTGAATTTGGTCCCATCTATGATTGAATGTGGAGGTACGAAGTCCATGACATTGGGGGCGCCAAAATAGATAGGAACTGCACCAGAGTCGAGAGCATAAAATAGCTTTTCTGTCACATAACTTTCTGTTACTGTGTTTTCAATAGCAAGGACAAACTTGTAATTGGACATGGCACAATGCAAATGGTCCCACCATTTAGAGGTAACACTGGCATCGTTAGCACACTTGGGGTATAGAGTAAGGGCCATGTCTGGGCCACCAACATTGTTCAGGCATTTCCCAAATGAATGGTGAGGAAGCATCTTGAGGAGACTCTTTGCAAGCTGGTTTCTATGGGGAAGGCATCGTGATGAAGACCAATAAACTAGTACATCCTGCACATAGGTTTATAGAAGAAAAAGAACCCATATTTTTCATACAATGAAATGATGGAAAGAAATTATTTGAGAATGTCAAAATGAAGTAATGAACAAAGAAAATATGTGCCAGCCACTTACCCTTTTCTTATAAGAAGACACATGATAATTTCGAGCATTGTGAAAGAGAGCACCAGCATAAGTTGACTGAACATCATCTTCAGCATGGTAGCTAATAAATATATCCTCCCAACCAGACCGCTTCCTGCCAGCCTCTAGGTCCATGTATACACGAAGTGGATCACCGTTACGTCTCTGTAAACACAAGAACAAGCTCAAATCAAAATATAGCCAGAAAAAATAACACCTCAAAAATGGATGAGCAGAAAAAATCCAAACACAGGCCATGCACATATTACTATACTGTTTTTCTTCTTCTTCTTGTCCCACAGGAAGATTTAAGGCATAAAACACAATACTTTTCAAGTTCTCTTCCAACTTTCAAGGAAATGATCTACTTCTCAATGCTCTGTTAGATAATTAAAAGGGCAAAATAAAAAAAAAAAAAAACCTATAACAGGAAGATATAGGTCCCACTTCTAAGCAATTCTTTCAGAACTCCATATAAGAAATAAAGTCATACGAGCCATTTTTTGATAGACCAATGATACAAGATCTTGAAATCAAACAAAGAAGCAATAAAATGTAGCTAATACAAGTTAAACAGAACTAGAATTATCAAGACCTAGAGTGATAAGTATCTGAATGAAAATGCTATGTTTTTGTATATCCAATAATATATCCATAATGACCATTCATTTGAATGCCAGTTCATCTAATGTTTTTGTAGCACTGTTGTTTCAGAAGACAAGGAGGGGGGAGGGGGCACAAGAGCGTCAAGCATTCAAAAAAACTTCAGAATTCAGATCAGATTGTACCGTTCCCAATTCCTAATTTCTTGCCTGCCAACAGATGAGCACAAGACATTTGGCATGAAAAATGACCAAAACAAGGAACAAAATGTTTCAAGCAATTGATAAAGATCTCTCAGGCTATCAAAAAGATCATCACTTGCATCAACTTCATTTTTAAACTAAATTTGCCATTGCCAAAAGCATCCCAAATTTGGAGTAAGGTGGCATACTGAAGTTCAAAAAGTTAAGCCAATACACCATACTCCAATATCTGTACAACGTATCAGTTATGGCACCTCATGCCACCTATCATTATTCTACAGCCACTCAAACAAGTTGCTCACTATGATAAACCAAATTTAACAAGGCACAAACACATGTCCATAAATTTATGGACCAGGTAACAAACTCAGAGGATCAAGCAGGAAAATATTAAAAGCAGATCACAACAAAAGGGGAAAAGTTAGGATTAAATTATATCTGTTGCAAATTGCCATATATACATAATCTCATGATCCAACCTCATTAAAACAAATGTAATTAACCACATCTAGATTTTTTTTTAGTTGGATAAAACGTGAACCCAAATCTAGTTGCCAAATCATCACTCAACAATTACCGACATAATTTGCAATGTATAATAGATCCAAACTGGACAAACATCTTTTCAAGATCCATCTACACATCTCACTTAAGCACTCTATTCTATGGCATCCGCAACCAAAAGGAAACAGAACTGGGAAAAACAAGAGCACAATTACCCGCAATGGAGGCGTGGTTGTCTCGAATAACAATGCATCGGGTTTGTCAGCAAGAACCGAAGATTTGGTCCACAAACAGCTCAACCCACATCGACAAGAATACAGATTATCCAAATTATCTGGAATCCAAGTCCACCCCTTGACCAAAACACTAACATGGTTCATTTTCAACTCACTACATCCCGAATCACCCCTAGTTTCCTGCAAAGACGCAGACACATTACCTCCAACATGGATCGAACCCCTTTGGTCTTCCCTGAACCGAGCACAACCCACTTGCGAATCCCACTTCTTGAAGGCACTGAACAAATCAGTAAAGGGTTCTGGATTGGTTTCGATCTTGGACGAGGCTGGGTTGTCAATTTGTTGAATTGAGGTAGAAATAGAAGGGAATTCGAGGATGCCGGAGAAGGAGAGGACCAAGAAGGTGAATAACATCATGAGCAAGACGGTAAAGGTGTTAATGGGTTTCAATTGCATGGTGGGTCTTCACCGCCGGTTGAGAATTTCGGCTTCTTCTCTCTCCCTTCTTTGAAGAGGGAGAACGTAGATAGGGGATCAATGGATGTTCTTTCTACCTAGACTTCTGAACCAGCAGAATGACCATACATGGTTTCGTTTGCCAACAAAACGAATTCAGCAGTTACACCAGGCGTTGGTGAGTTATGATCCTGCACTTTTTTTTCTTTTTCAGAAAAGGCAATTGCATATTTGCATACCAAGGAGGTTTTTATTATTATTATTATTTTTTTTTTTAAACTATAGTCTTTAATAAAAAAATATATATTATAAATTTATTATAAAAGTATATATTAATTTTGTTTTC